TCTTGACTTACAGAAATAACATCTGCAACATGATATTCAATGTTATAGAATCATAGAATGGTTTGGGTTGGAAGGGACCTTAAAGATCATCTAGTTCCAATCCACCTGCCATCAGCAGGGACACCTTCCACTACACCAGGTTGCTCAAAGCCTCATCCAGCCTGGCCTTGAACACTTCCAGGGAGGGGGCATCCACTTCTCTGGGCAACCTGTGCCAGTGTCTGACCACCCTCACAGGAAAGAAATTCTTCCTAATATCTAATCTAAACCTGCCCTCTTTCAGCTTAAACCCATTTCCCCTTGTTCTATCACTCTGTGCCCTCGGAAAAAGTCCCTCCCCAGCTTCCTTGTAGGCCCCTTCAGGTACTGGAAGGCCGCTATAAGATCTCCTTGGAGCCTTCTCTTCTCCAGGCTGAACAGCCCCAACTCTCTCAGCCTGTCCTCACAGGAGAGGTGCTCCAGCCCTCTGTTATCCATTCTCTATCTGAATGTTATCCACTCTCTTTTGCCTACTAATAAGCCAACCAATATCCAAACACTTCAAAAGTAGCCACAGCATAAGCTGCCTCTTACCGAGCTGACAGTCAGAGAATATGGAAAAGAGGCAAGAGGAACGCTGAAGTGCTGTTAAAGTACAAAGTCACCAGGGGCCAAGGGCCAAGGGACAGCTACGTTAATGTGGATGAGGCAGAAGGACACAGGTAATGGGCCTGCAGGGAACCAAGTTGTGGGTTCCCTCATTCGTATGGTTGATTATTTCAAACAGAGGCTAAAATGAAGTTAGCTAAAACACTTTGCTAAAATCTCTATATTTTAATATCATGTTCTCATTATCTTTCCTCATCTGAAAATCGACACAAAGCACTAAGGACACAACTTTAACTCCAACACTGCACTAATGCAGTTGTGAAACAGAAGCCTTCAACCAGGTTAGAATACTGTGCCAACGCTGGTATGCTGCAGAGATCTGTGTTATGGTCTATTCCTAAATATCTCCTTACAGCTCAACCATTTCTTACTAAAGAAAGATTTTTCTTTGGCCTGATCCTAACTTTCCAAAGTTCTTCAGCAGGTCATTTCATATCTAGACAAGTAGAGATTCTGCTATTTACATCCTATATATTTTGACATATATATACACACCCATACACACACTTAAAAAGCTCTTTGGAAATGAGAACCAACTGTATTAAAAAAAAAAAAAATCAAATTTCTGATAAAGCAGCATCACACTCATCTAGTATATATGGAATACAATACCTTCCTACTGAACATTACTGACTCTACAAGAATTTCTCAAAGAATACCAGTAGGTCACTGACAGAATCACACGTGCGAGTTGGTGTTTCATTTACCAGTCATAAAACTGATAAATACTGTTTTATTTATCAGTTTTATCAGTTGATAAAACTTCATCATCTTCCCAGTTATGTGCCACTGCTAAAAACCACATGCAGTTTAGCTTCCCAATACAAGATATCATCTATCTCCAGCTACATCCCAGTTGCATTTAAAAAGAAAAAAAAGTCTCTTTCAAGTCTTAGGTTACTTGCAACATTCAAATTTAAACTGCTTGTTTGGGTTTTTGTTTTGATTTGTTTTTATTTGATCCTCAAAACAAGCACAACCAAAGGTACTTTTTCAAAAATCTGCAGAGTACAGTATAATAACCGAAGATATGTGTAAGCTATCGAGTGTTCCAAGGTTTTCCCCACAAATTAGAGGAAACCTAAACAGTGCAAAGAAAGGTAAATGTCAGTTCAATGAGAAGTAAAATCAGACTGTAACTCAGAAACCATACTCTTATTAAAGAATACCATTATATGGAGCACCGCCTCTTAAATCACAAGCTTAAATTCCCCAATAGCAGGAGCTTTCAGTTTTCAAAGATCAAATTCATTATTAAACTACTACACTGGAAAGTGTTTTAAGTGAGACAACTTTTGCCATATCCATCCATTCCATATCCCAAACTGATCTGATACGAAGTGTACCAAAGGTGAAATACATATATCATCTCAATAAGGAAGCTACAGGGCAGGAGCACTCAATTTATATTAAAATCAAAATGTCCAGATGCACTACTTAAAGTAAAAAAATTAGGCAAAAAGTAAGAACTCCTCAGTTAGCTGTAGTTTTAGAACAGATGGGAATCTAGACACACCCCATTTCTAGCTACGACACTTGTACAATGCTGACCATAAAACACCTGTTCTGCAATGAGAAGACGTCCTCTAAGCCATGACACCGCGTGTGCTGAAACCCTGACAAGACAATAAACATATTTCTAAAATAAATGGGGAAACTAAAGAATACAACCCTGAAAATCCATGACCTGAACAGCAACTGCAACCCCACTGATAAGTCATCTGAAATTTCCAACACAACGTTACAGGCCCCATTGTCAGTATAAATGCAAGAGTGCTGAAAAAAAGAACAAGGAAATTAGAACATACTTACCTTTGTTTCTTCAACATTTGGGAGTGGTGAGTTCAGAAATTTTTCTGTAAGTCTTTTCCAGCTTGCAGCTTTTCCAAGGTCAGAATGAACTATCAATTTTTCATGTATTCTAATAACAAAAATAGTATCAAAAATGCTTCAAAAAAGTTAACTGATCCATTATTAATCCATAAGCATAAAACTTACCCTTCTATCGTCCTCTCTACTTTGTGACTGTTCACATCAAGAAAACGGTGAAATCTGTGTAAGAAATCTGTATTAGAATATGTTCAAAAAGGAAGCTTAAGTGAGGAAGAAAATAAAGCTGATTTACATATATGAGGACAACATTACTAGTTTAATAATGCCCGCTTAATTCAGCAACAGCATTGAACATCAACAAAATTCAATCTCTCCGTCTCTTGGCTCGAGAAGGATTAACTACAACTGACCTTAAAGATGGAAAAAATGGAATGCAGGTTACATTTAACCAGCATTTTAAGCCGAACGGAAAATTACTAGTGTATCAGCAAACTAAGCAATTAAAGTACGCTGCCAGTTAAGCCAGGTGGAGCAAGGAGATCAAAAGCCTTATTGGTAAAGGCATCTGTGTCAAATGCACAAAAATTATCTGGGACTTGCATCACAAGCACAGGCAAAACAAATACCCACATGGGAGGGCCTCTAAACCCAAATGAAGCTCCTTTATAAATAATTAAGGAGAGTGCCTAAAAGAAAAGAGAGCTTACTAAACATACATATAGATACACCACCAAAGGCAGCATGTATAGGGACAAAAAAAAAAGTCACAAAAGGCAAGATGAATCTTGCAGAAGAAATTAGATTATGAGTAAGGTTCTTCAGTTATACAGAAAGACAAACCAGCGAATGGGATGTGACAGCAGTGACCACGAGGTCAAGATACTCTTTATGTAGGCCCTCAAAGTCAACCTAATATTTTGCCTCAGCTTCCAGCAACTGTGCAGAATACAGGAGGTAAAACTTCATGATCACAGACAGAAATAAAAACTACTGGATCTGAAGCAGGAGCAAAAGTTAAGCTAAATAGACTGAATTTGGAAAGATAATCTAAAATCACCTTCATGTCAAAGTAATGAACTAGAAAATGAAACCATAAGGTAAGTAGCAACAATTTTTATTAAGTATCACTGAAGGATGAAGACATGTCCACATTAAAGAAAAGAAGAAATTACTTTGTTAACTACAGACCCATTAGTCTTATTTCAGCTGTGTGTAAGGCTTTGGAATAAAAGCATGATAAAATGTATCATTAACTAGGTAGTTGACATTTAGGTTAAGAAAATACAGCTTATCTCATCTATTACAGCACATTAGCTCACACAGGAAATCATTAGTTCAAATGGCAAACGGTGGTAACTACAGAAAAACAGACTGGAAAGACAACAAAAAAAACCCCCCAAAACCAAACCCAAGATTCTGCACTGAAAATAAATATTAAGCTGAAGGGAAGTTATTAATGAAATTATTTTAGTCTAGTATTACTTAAAGCTTTAATTAATGGCCCTAATACACACACACACCAAAAAAAGTATCAACTTTTTTAGGCAAGTTGGGAACATCATGAAGAAGACTACCATGCTACATGGAAAGAATTTGATGAATCTGAGAACTACAGCATAGAAACATCATAAAATCTAACAATACAACCACAAGTTTCACAAACTTGAAACTCGAGACCTTCTGCTACAACCTAAAGTCTCCTGGTTGGGAAATACAGTATTAGTCAACCTCAGGCTGAAGTTTTATGCACATTTCTTAGACAACAATTCTGGCATAAAAACCTTCCTCTTCCCAACCATCCCTGTCAAAATAGTTTTTTGTCAACTCTGCATCACCCCCTTTGTTCTCCTGCCATGTAGTTTAAAAAAAAAAATACAACCCAACAATTCCCCAATCTAAAAGAGCACAGAGCTACAAAAGCAACTGGGTCACCAAAACAGGAGATGTCACAAGAAGAGGTGGAAGACAGGGCATATTTTACCTGGCTAAAGAAACCCTGTTACTGTTACCAATCCACAGACTCAGACAACGCCTGTTAACAAGCAAGTATTTTGATGCAGCCATCCTATGATGCACTACACAAAACAGGTTTGGTAAATATAAAGAGGGAGATAGCAGTTACAAATACCACATTCCTATACTCCCACTGAATACAACCAGCCTACTCAAAACTCAACAGAGTTGAACTTGTCAAAACACAGGTTACAGGTCGTACCGAGCTCTCCCACACCCCAGACTCACCTTTGCTGCTGATCAATGCCTATTTGGTTATTAAAGAGGTTACTGGAACCTGTTAGTAGCTAGGATTCACAGTCCAACTTCATGCAATGCACTTATGCTATTGCTCACCCCCAAGAATGGATTTAAACAGCATAAAAAATATAAGTAGCGTTGATTTAAAATGGATTAGGTACTTGCTGCATGAATTTAAGCAAGTATGTAAGGCTCCAAAGAGACAGCAGTTAGTGATAGTATGGGAAATTGGAAACAGACTGTGTAAAAATTGGCAGCAGACACTGAAATGGTAACTGTGATAAATGAATAAGAGTAGCATGCAAAACTTTAGTAAGGCCATTTTAGATGGTAGTGCAATAGAATTAAAAGGATATAGATAATATACATTACAGGTAATAAAGATCATGTTCATGACAAGCCCTAATAACATCAAGCACATGATCTTCTGCAGACAGGGAACCTTTCACATAAGCAGCACAGTATTCCTGGCCAGAAGCTTTATCTTGACTTGGCGGTTTCCTTGCTCTTTACAAAGAAGGGTTATTTCTTTCCTTCACTGCGACAAATAAAACCTTGGAGGGGTGGCAAAACGAAGAGGCTGAAAGGTGCCTTTTTACAGACCAGCAGAAAAGCCCTGAAAGACCCAGGTTTAAAAGTGGCGGCGCAGTCGCCGCTGACCCTCTGACAGGGGCTCGCAAACGGCCCCCGGTGCTGCCCCAGGCGCCGGGAGGGCGGGAACGGCAGGGCACGGCTGGGCCGCTA